TCCTAATACAGCTGAAGCAGAGGGAAGGCCTCTTATGCCTCAGGGTCCAATAAAGGGAAGAGTTATTAATCCCAGTATGTCACTGCAAGGGAAATAGTTGTACCTTGCATGCCGGTAAAAGCAACAATTCAGTTGTAAGTGATCACCATAGTTGATAAGCTCCCTGACAGCCTGAATTTCCTTCTGAAAAACGTCCATGTATTCCTTCTGAAAACCTCAGTGTTGCCACACTTGAATATAAAAACTTCATTTGAATGCAAATATCATTCCTCTGTCAGTAACCCTGAAATCATTGCAGGGGATTGAAGCATCCAGTGATCTCAAAGGAGTGTAGCCCACAGTGCCTGTGGAGAAGCCAGCTGTAGCAGCTCTGGTTAGTCACTGACAGGAGCTGTACTCCCAAGAAATGGCAAAGGAATGGCAAAAATGACAGAGGAAACAAGCAGAGGTAAGAAAATGGCTAGGTCCAGAGGAAGAGGATGGGGTTTCCTGTTTCTCTGAGTAGTAGGAGATGTGATCTTGTGGTTTTTCTCAGGGGAGGATCCCAGATGACTGATACTACTTTCTCTGCTGAGTAGAGCAAAAGTGGAGCCATTAAATGTTGGTTCGGTGAATTATTTGTTTTATTCTGTCTGTTCCTTGAACACAATTTTAACATGTGTTATTCATGTTCTTCCTGGGCTCCTAAGTGCTAAGTGGGGCTTACAGGGGGAAATCATGCCTTAGCTCATGCCTCCTGCCCATCCTGGCATGCACTTGAACCACCCCATGTGTAGCAGACAAAGGGTTGGGAGTTGCAGTGGTCAACGTCAGTATGTCTTTGTCATCAAAGGACTACTCCAACCTGAAGGGTACCTTTGGCAAGTAGTTCATATGTGGTTCCTGCTGCTTTTGTGCTACTCAGTGAGAAAAAAAGGGATTGTTTTCCCTTATCAGGGATCATACTCCTGGAGCCTAATTCTTCTTTCTGCTAATTATTCTTTCTGCTTTCATATCAAAATGAATGAAATGGGTGAGTTAATTGCCTGGGTGGGAATGGGAAAGGAAGAGGACTGTGATGAATATGCATGGACTTTATCTCAGCAGATTTCTGCATTTGGACTTTGACACTAGCTTTGATTTTGGAAAAATGAGAGCTTTCATCTTTCCATCTTTATTCTCAACTAAACTCTCTTGGTCTGTGTCTGTGGTCTACTGACCACAGACTGGTCTGCTTTTTCTTCTGGGCTTCATAGCCCTTCCCCACACCTGCCATTAGCCCTGTTCTGTGGCCTGAACAAAATCCAATTTGAAAGTAACCATGAGAATCTGCTGAATTTTAGTGTCACTACTGCACTGTATTTGATTTCAAACCATCCTCATATTTACAATGTCATATTCTCATGGTTTGGTTTATCTGCTAGATATTCTCCTGGTTTACTTTGTACCTATTTTGGTGGAGATCAGCAGGGAAGATGTGTTGTGATTCAAAGGAAAAGCAGCAGGAGTCCATTACTTTCATTGCCAGTGCTGTAAAGTCTGATGATTCTGTATTCCAGCCAGAATGGCAGGGCTTCAAGAACAGAATTTACCTTCCAGTACTGCCCTGCCTCAAGTGCAGCTGACAATGGAATTAATGGGACATGGACAGTGGCAAAGGGGTAACATGAACTCATGTTTCATGTACTGCACAATGCTCTTGCCCTGCTAGTGCAAAATTTTCTTTACAGACACAGCAGCAGCAAATCTTCATCTGGCAGAAGCTTGCACCTGCAATTCTGTAAGCCACTTTGCAACTGTGTAGGGAGAGCAGCTGAAAGAAGCAGTGGCCAACTTTGGGACACTTTGCCAATACCAGAAAGCTTGGTAAATCAGTGGGCAAGACACTGTTCTCAAGGACCAGCTTACTGTCTGTCAACCAGGTAAAAGGGCATATATTATTTCCCAGTGGGCACATGGACAGGCCCAACCTGAGGCCTTTCAACAAGGGTGAAACCAATGTCCACCTTGAACTGATTTGTGCCCACTTACTACTGGCAATCACTCTGGCATTAGTGTATTTCTGAAGGGGCATGGATCAGCTGGAAGTGTGGCAATGTCTGTTACCTGTGTTTGATTTACTGGAAGTAGGTGAGAGACTTCTGTCTGTCAGGAGCAGTTGCTCCATGGTGAAGAAATGCTAGGTCAGCTTGTGTCAACAAAGTGAGCAAATTTCTAGAAGAGACCCCAAAATGTCAAACATCTGTGACAGGATGTCCTACACTGGACTGTAGCATTCATGACCAAGCCTGCTGGATTTTTTATGGGTATGTGATAGGATATTAAAGTACTTCGGTAGCACCAAGGGATCCTGTTGCAGCAGTGTAATTTAGGAGGTGAAGGAATGAACTGATGGGAGTTGGGCATTGCTCCCTTATGCTGGTGGGAGAAACCACCACCTCTGTGTGCATAAAGAGTAAGATAAATTTTCATGACTGACTGGTGTGATTAAATCTCATTTGTGCAGTAGAGGTGAGAATTTTGCACTTTGTGGACTGATGTTACTCCTGTTCTTCTGAAGCAGTAAATCTCTGGCCTTAGTTTGTAAGATATTTTGGATGGACTTCTTAAAGGACACTACTATCCTTGCCAAAAGCTTTTGCTCTAAATAAACCATACATTATGCCTGACCTTACAACACTTTTTGCCCTAACATTTAGAAGTCACCATCAAGCTAGCAGAGGCAACAAACGTTTTCTTGAGCTGGGGGACTGTGCTGATGTGCAAGCCAGAGAAAAGCTCTGAGAGAGGTAACTGATCAGATACTATGAAAAAGAAAAACTATTTTTTGCCAAAGAAACAACAGCACTGTAGGAATGGGATGAGGGGAACTATATTCAAGAAAGAAAATAAGAGAAGGACTCTCCCAATAAAGCAAGACAGAACTGGATATTTTCTTGTCTGAAAGAGAGGAGGTTGCTCAGTGCTAGCCATGAACCAGTGAAAGAAAACTTAATAAGGCTCCACCTTTCAGGGACCCTGCCATCAATGTTTTGTTCTCATGCCAAACTCCTGGACTATAAAAATCTGCCTATAAGCCAAGAAAAAACACTTCCCTGAAAGGATTTTCAAGTTACCGCTTCATGGCAAGATGGAAATAAAAAAGGGGAGATCATTTTGGATCTTCTGCCTAATTTGGAGTTGTTGCAAGGGCAAAGAACCAGTTCAGATAGGTAAGAAAAAAATCTAATTCTCAGATGATTTGCTTTCATATTGCTCTCCGTAAGTGACAAATTACATGCATAACATATTCATGTGAGCTATAGACATGCAAGATACTGTTTTATATTGTACATTTTCATCCTTATTGTCAACCATCTAAATATTTTCCTATTTTTCTTTTACTACTAGGTAGTTTTGCAACCTTTTGTTTTGTCCTTAGTGACTCATCTTAAAGAGGACACCCTCTGGATGCAGTTTTCAGCACAAAAAAATGGTGACACCCTTTTCAAAACATCTCACATATATTCTTTATGGAAGAAGTATGTACAGCTAGGCTTGATTGACCACTATAAAATGCTGCATTAGGAGCAATCACATATTTTGTTGTCTGCTGCACTGTTACCTCCTGGTTTGATTTTGAATGTCTTGCACTTTTTCCAATTGCTTAATACACAAGCAATTGATGTGTCAGTTACTGCTGTCTTAGTAATTCTGGCAAATCCACTTCTAAGAATAACCAGACTTCCTCATTTTCCCTCATTATTGTGTGGAAAAGTGCTAAACTACTTTTCTCCACTTTAGTGCTGCAACCATCTGTGGCAAATTATAGTCCCTTTAAAAAGCTGTTTCTGTAAGGACTTCCTGGCACTTGAGTTTGTGTTGCATATTTCTAACATCAAGATCTGAATTTTTCAGTGTTCCCCAGCTGATCCTTAGGTAGGAATACTTAACAATATTTTAGAGTTCACTGAGTAAATTAATGCCTATTTTTCATTTGAAATGGATGTTGCCATGTTGATTTCCCTAAATGTGCTATATAAACAACAATGAGAAATTTACCCATTTTTATTGGCCAGTTTTTATTTTTGTTCTTTCAGAGCTGCCTAGAAAAAATGCTAAAAGCATTTTGTAGCAAGCATATATAATTTAATTAAAGGTTGTTCATATTGTCTTTGTGAAGATCAGTGAATCATAGAATCAATCATAGAAGATTAGAAGGTAGGAAATTACTTTCTGAAGTGATGTCTTATATGCATTTAGACTACATATCCATCTATACCTTTGCCAGAGGTACAACCTAGACATCCAAACATGAATTTTGGCTGAGATAAAAAAACAAGTAGCTCTGAGCTGACTGCTGAAGCTGGTAGCAACCTCAACCACTGAGATGAGTGGCTGTCATTTTGCTGAAGAGTCATGCCACCTGTGATATCTTCTGGAAGGGACTCAATACAAGACTTTGGACCGTTGTTAAAACACAGGATTTCAAAAGTAGAAAAGAGATTTAGGCATCCAGGTTGGGATTCCCCTCACTTCACTGTAAATATCAACAGTGTAAATGTATTTACAACATAAATATAGACACAACCATAATGGACAATGGAAAGATGCATGCAGTTTTGAGCCTTTTCTTGTTAGGTAGATATATAAGGTAGTGAAGCTGAACCTCTTCTGCTTCTCACTGTTAACTTCAAAGCAGCCTGAGCTAATTTGCTCACATTGGAGGTATCTCTGGTATGGACTTCAAAAGTTAAGTGGGATGAAATTCCTTCCCACAAGCTAGTATCTTCCAGGAATTATCACTTCTTTGCCTTTGAAAATCTTTTCTTTAATAATTTTCAACCAAAAAAAGGCAAAGCACCTCATATGGGGTGATTTCTAAGCTCCCCTCCTATGACTTTTTCTTTAGTCCAGGTCTCCACTGTCAGTAGGAGTGAATGTGCCACCTGGGGCAATTTCCACTTTCATACATTTGACCATGTTAAGTTTACTTTTCCTGGAACCTGCACATATGTCTTCGCTTCACACTGCAATGACAGCTACCAGGACTTCAACATTCAGATCAGGCGCAGTGACAAGAACAGCTTCCTGGTCTACTTCACTGTCACCATTGATGGAGTGATCTTGGAGGTGAAGGAGACAGGCATCACAGTGAATGGGAACAAGTGAGTAAAGACTGTACTGTTGGGTTTTTGAGCAGCAGTTTTATTGCTATGTGTTAGCAACAGGTGGTCTGTCTAGAAAGTGATCCTGTTCTTCAGAGGTGCATGTGGCTGTGTATGACATGTTCATAGCTCTTTGAACAGAGTACTGCAAAGATTCCACCCCATAGTGGTGGAAGAGACAACAAGTATGTAAACTACACCTCCCAGGGATCCACATGAGCAAGTTAAGCAAAAGGCAATGTGTATGTTACAAAAATAGGTGTAGGTTTCCTTAATGTTGATGAGATTTGGGAGGGACGGATGGAGAAAAGTACATAAACCCTAACACTTTATTGAAAGTTTAGATTTTGTAGAAGCTTTGCAGGTTTTTTTCTCAAAACATTAATTCTGTGGTACTATACCTACAGTTATATGTTGCTGTTCAGGAACAAATAGTCCTTTCAGGTAGTTTTCTGTTTCCAGACAGATTAGTCTAGACAATTGTGCAGCTTTGCATCAACTTGTCCTGGGATCTTCTTATACAAAAGACAGAGTTTTCAGGAGTCAAAATCCACACCTTTAATTCCAGTCCAAAATGAAGCAGAAAGCAAACTGCAAACAGAAGGGTAAAAATGCTCCATAAGTAAAATGTCATATGCAACAATAGCTGAAAGTCAGGCACAATTTTAAGGGCAGTCCCCATGAGAAGTGCAGAGTCCTGCTCCTAGCATATAATTATGAAGGGCCAAGGCAGTTTTTGATCTGAGAAAAACCCTCACAATCTTGTTGGAGAGAAAATTGTGAGCATATGGGCTGTCTTCTCTTGACAGCCTTCTAGAAACAACCAAATATAGAATAGCATCACACAGTTGTAATTATAGTACCAAAGCTCATATGTATCTCCTAAATCAAAGGGGCAAGAAATCTCCTATTTTTTAGCCACTTTCTGTATTTCTAAGTTTTTTAGGCTCTGGGAAAATGAATGGTAATTGTCATGGCAAGATGAAAAAGTATTATAGCTCTGAGTTGTGTCGGTATGTGAGCAACAGAACAGAACTCTTTTCACTTGTCTGTGAATGCCTAATCTCAAGGAAATCCTGGAGGGATGATTATAACCTCCTCATGTGGAGGACCAGTTTCTCAATATTAACATCTTGCTCCTCATAAATTTTAGAGTTAGATCTTAGAATATGTAAACAAGCAGAACTTCATTGGTATGAGTCAAGTGGCTAATATAGTATTGACAAATGACCAAGACACATTGGATTAAGGTTGGTAAAAGGTCACAGTGGACAAGGTGATCATACCTAAATTTAATGCATTGTGTGGATGAAAGCTGACCTTGAGAAGAGTGTTCCCATGCCTTATTTAGTTCCTTTTGTCTGTAGTTTTTCTTTCTATATCTCTGTGAGGATTTCATCAGTCTTTTTTTTTTCAATACAATGTTTTGTTCCCTCCAATTTCCAGGATCCCCATGCCCTTCAGCTTGAAGAGCATCCTGATTGAGGATACCTGCACTTACTTCCAAGTCACTTCCAAGCTGGGCCTGACACTCAAGTGGAACTGGGCTGACACTCTCCTAGTATGAATAACCAGTTAGTTGTTTTTCTCCTGGTGAACCTTATCAATGATGAAAAGCAGAGCTGGATGCAGGCAATGTGTTGATACAAGAAATTGTGGGAGGGAGGTATCACTGTATCCATAAACTAACAGGGAAACACCAAACTAGCTAGTAGTTTCATGGGACAGGGGCATGCAGTCACAACCCATCCATTTCCAGCTAATTTTATGTGACAAAAGGTACCACTGTTAACCCAGGATATAACACCTCTGTAGTTACTTCCATGCTCTATAGGGCACTGGCAGCAATACAGTTAGTCACTCCAGCTCTGACTTGCCAGTTTCCCTCTCTCTCATGTGCATCTTGTGTGGGAATCTAATCTGTGTGACCAGTTCAGATCTTGGCTTCTCTCATTTCAAAGTCATACTATGTGAAATTCTCCTCTAAACATCTACCCTGCAATATCCTCTTCTACAACAGGGTCTTTACACTTTTGTGTGTGAACACCTATCCTTCACTATCAGGTCTGAGATTAACTAAATGGAAGTTGTGTGTCATGCTTTTTGACAGAGAGAGGGTAAAAGGTGAATAGAGAGAAAATGTATCAGAAAACAAGAGATACTGAAATTCTGATTGATCAAAGCATTTGCTTCCCCCTTCCCCTATACCAATTAATACCTGAAGTATTAAAGGCAGTATCTGTACACTACTGAAGAGTAGGCAAAATTTTAGGCTGACACACCTGTAAGAAAAGCACCATCTTTTTTTAGTGGACCTGAGTAATGCCAGTACTATCCTCTGAATATGTAGGAGTGATTAGGTGCAAGTTTTTTTCTAGCAAAACCATAGTGTGATAACCTGGCTCTTTAATGCCCCTAAGTATGGGCAAAACAAGTGATGCTGGGCTGACTAACCCCAGAAGTGCTATAAAGTTTTCCATTTACCCTATGGACTAGAAAACCCCTTAGATATGGCTAAAATCTAACCAGAAGATGCTTCTTTGCAGCATCCAGCATCAGAGCATCTGACCTATCCAGGTACCATGTAAGAAGTATTAAATATCTATATACCAGTGTCTCTATACTGGGAGACACTGGTCCAAGGATTAGTCCAGTATTGAGCATGCATCCATTAGCCCTTTAGTAGGTAGGAATGACAATTACTAGAGAATTATCTTCCCATTTGAATTCAACTTGTCTGTGGGTAAGTTTTATGACAGGTTTGTAACAGAAAAGGAGACTGCTACGATTGGGAAAGAGCATTTCTGCTACTTTGCTGTTCTGTTATGAATCACTGTGTAACATGTGCTGCTCATGTGGGGTAAAACCTTAAAATTTGCATTCACTCTTTTGTAGTTGGACCTGGAAGAAACATACAAAGAGAAAATATGTGGTCTGTGTGGGAACTATGATGGCAGTGAGAAGAATGATTTGATTTTGGATGGTAAGTCATAAATACAGCATATTCCACTCAGAACAGACCTCTTAATAAATGATGTGAAGCTTCTTATCTGTTTTTTCTAAGCAGGTTTTCAGATTTCCCGACAGACTGAAATACATGAACACTAAACATATTTGAAGAGGTTCTGGGATGATTTGGGCTTCTCTGCTCTTTTCAGACTTGCAAGAGTTTAAAACCTCTTTGACTCAAATTAATTTCTTGGCTATCAAGTGGCAACATTGCCAGGTTTCCCACTGATAATAACATCCTTTAAGGAAATACAAGAATGCATTTTCTGTCCTTCCATTTTAATCATTCTACATATGACATTTTTTGTCTCTATAAAGAAATGAAAGAATCATAGATATTTGATTTCACTGAGCATCTTTGAAGAAACCGTGGTGCCATCCACTGACATCTTCAGATACTGCAAACAGCTGAGGCTACAATCCTGCAGCAGGCTGTATGAGTGGAAAGAAACCTGCATTCTGGGATATTAGCTACAGGACTGAAGCCAAAGCTATGATATCCCTTCATGTAATACCAGGGCTTCTAAAGTCACCAGAAAAATATTGTCATCTACCTCACATATTGAGAAAAAAATCCTGAGATTTGATTTAAAGTACCATTTGTAGTAATAGATTTGGGGGTCATTTTCAGAGTTATAACAAGTTTTGAATGCATTTTAATCTTGTTTCTGCCCTTTACTTCACAAGGGCAATAGCTAAAACCTAAAGATGTCTCACATTTTTCTGAGGGAATAGTTTTCTACTGAGGAGCATTTCTTTAAGAAAATCAGGCTCTTCATGTATGCATCTGGTTCCACAAATAACAGGTTCACACACCTGGGAACCATGTGGCCTCCCCCATCCTTCCTTGCTGCTCCAAATACATCCTTCTCTCTGGGCTGAGCAGGCAGAATTCAGTATACCTGTCCAGGCTAAGATCCACTGCAAGTAGAGGTCCAAAGTTTGTCATCACCTTCAGACTCTTTCCTCTTATCAGGAGGAAAAATCCCATTTCTGCATAGAGTAGCTGTTCTTGAAATTTTGTGCTATATATTCTTTAATGTCAATTGAGATCCTTGCCAAATCACATGGCTCCAAGAGCTCAGGGCTTTAAAGACCTCTTTCCAAAAACAGTAGTAAAGCACCTGAAAGCAATGCTTTTGTGGAAATCATTCTCTCAGGCATGCATGTAGTTAAGGGACTGAGGCATCACAGGAGAAAAGATCTGGTCAGAAATCTGTCTACTAAACATTACAAAAAGTGAAAGCCAAGAATGGCAATTCATGCATATTCTCCATAAAATTTTAAACTCTGACAGAAAGATTTCTTACATCCAGGATCAGGTTTCTGGTAGTGCATTGGGAAAGTGCACCCCTCTAGCCAGTGTAATGGTTCCATCCATGTATTATGTGCTTGTCTTCCTCCTTCTCCCTCTTTCCATCTTCTCTAGCCTGTTAAAAGTAATAGATTTCCAGACAATTACAAACACATGCATCTAAGGCTTTACTTTAGGTTCTGATAGTAGAAGGGAAGCTAAATTGTCAGACATGTGCAGACAAAAAACTCTGTAAGATCAAATACACCCATGACAAACTGAAATCTTTGGAAGTGATGAGATGGAATAGAAAGGTCAAGAGTCTCATGTGATTATAAATGCCCAGGCTCACAGCAGACCTTGAGAGAAGTCTGCCAGATTCCTGGCTCTAGCTCAACAGGAGTAATGTCAGGCTATCATCCATTATAATGTGGATACTGGTTAAATTTAGGCATTTAGTGAAGTGCATATTGCTTTAGAGCCCAAAGATTAAGTGCATTTTTATAGCCCATTAACTGATATGAAGAATTGATACATCTGGGGATTTTGCAGGGTATAAAGTGCATCCGAGACAGTTTGGGAACTTCCACAAAGTAGAGGATCCATCACAAAAGTGTACTGATGTAAGTCCAGATGACCACACTGGAAGACATCCTAAGAGGAAAGATGATAGATGCAGTATATATGTAAGTATATGTGACCAAAAATACAAACCCCCTCAAACTACAGTGCTGGAGACACTGTGTTGAAGCAAGTGTTAATTACAGAGTATGAACTAAACTGAATTTTTCAGGACTCTATACATGAATTTGAGCAAAATGCTGATCTTACAGCTGAAAAAATATCCTATTATAGTATTAAGGAAATAGATAGTGGAAAATACACAATTGAATGGCAGCTTCCAGTTCAAGAAAAAGGACCTCATGACAGAAAATTAGACTGGATAATCTCCTGAGGTCCCTTCCAACTTGAATTATCCTGTCAGCCTGGACTTGTGTCATCAAAACTTGGGATAATTTGAAGGTGGCAAAATGTCAAGTATTCCTCTCCTCTCCTCTCCTCTCCT